ATCAGTCGTCTGTGCGGGTTTTGTACCATTAGTGTGTGCAGTAGGGACAGATTTTGCACCGCGGCCACCCCTAGCACCACGCTCAGCACCGCGGCCTCTCCCTCGACCTTCGAAATTGCCACGGCCACGGCCTCGAGTAGCAGCGTCGGTTGTGGCGGGAGGGACTTCTTTGGGCTTCGGATGTTTCTTCTTGACCTCGCCCCATTGTGAGATGGTGCCTGGAACAGGATTGTTAGTGAACTCAAACACAAAATGTGACGGTTAGCTCTCTTACCACTTGAAATGCGGTCAACAGCAGCGTTGACGTCGCCGTCAGTCTCGTTCAAAGCATAGACCAAATCTTCGTCGCTCCAACCGGGACAGATTTCTTTGAGGAGAGGGACTTTGTCGCCAAACTTTTTGAGCAATTCACCGACTTCACCCTGATCTTCTAGCGGTGCGGGAGGAATGTTCTCTTGCTCATGGTCTGGTTTGTGTTGTGATCTCGAAGGGTTGCGAGTGCCACGGAAACCACCTCTGCCGCCTCTGAAACCGCCGCGACCTCTTGGGCCGCTTCCGCGGCTTTGGACTTCTGCCATTTTTGTGTGGGTGTGAAGAACGTGAGAGATGTTGCAAGAGATGGTAGGGAGGTTCGGATCGTTTGCAGTTGACGAAGGGAGACTGTGACAATAATGGTAACTTAATGGAAGTCGCAGCTAGCAAAAGAGCAGCCGGCCCCGCGTTGAAGGGAGGTCACTAGGTGAGGCAAGTGACAAGTGCGTGAGTTGGATCTAAAAGCACAGTGATGTTGACATGAAGACAGAGAGGGTTGGTTATGGCCGGAACACATTCAAGAGGCTTGTTTGGGTTTCAAAAAGGCAAAGGCAAAAGCAAAGGCGGCCACAGATTCTGGGGGAGGGAATTGCCAAGCACCTGACACTTGGACTGCTCGCTGATACTGTGGCGTCTAGGCTCTAGGGACAGGAACAGACCGTGGATGACTTCCAGGCACAGCAGCGAGCTAACTAATGGTGCTAGTTTGCCAGTTAGTGAGGCAGCTCGCCCCCCCACACGAGTCTCCAGCAGCGGCGGCATCCAGCGATCTCATTCCCTCTCCATTACCTAGTAGCACTGCGACTGCGATACCCCAAACACCCTCAGCTCACAATGACTACGCCCTCATGGTGAGTCCAAGATGAGACTCACCCCTTCCCTCGCCATCCGCAAGCTGCTCGCCTCGATCCATCCTCCTCTTTCTCCTCAGTCTCCCCGCGATTCCAAGCAGCTCCTCAACGTCCTCGAGTCCGCCTTCCAACGACGTCTTGATGAAACTCATCCCTCCCCCAGAGCGGCAGCAACAGCCAGCGACAATCAGCATGGTTCTGACTCAATCCCGGATCCGGCCCAAAGAGTCACCCATTCCACCCATTCTCACCTAGACACTATCCTCGGCCATCCTCTTTTCAAGCAGCAATCGCTCACTTTTCTGCAAACCCACGGTCTAGCTGCCACGGCGGTCAAGACATTTGACGATGCCCTGCTGAAACAAGGTCTCGATTCGGATCTCGTCCAGTCGTGCGCTCTGCAGTATCTTCAAGGCCGTGAGAAGCGAGGCAAATCACTCAAGGATGAAGGATTGGGTCCTAGATTGGCTCGCTGGTTCAACGCTATGACTGGCTCTGAGAAGAAGGATTTGCTGCTCAACGAGAAATACATTGAACCCTTGGTCTCCGTCATGTACGCCGACGGGCTGGAGCGTGAGGTCTGGCAGTGGCTGCAAGTCCTCTACGAACGATCTTTCGCCAATTTTATCTTCATCCCCACCGATGACTACGCTCCTGATGCCATCGCTTACCTGCGAGCGGAAGATCGCCTCGTATCTCTGATGATCAAGGAGACCGCTCGTCGCGGCCGGTTGCAGGAAGCTGTGCAGCTATATACCCAGGCCTACGAATACCGCCTGAGCTCCGGAAGAGCCGTCCTCTCAGACGGGAAGTCGGCCCCCGAACCTCTCCAACGGTCCTGGCGTCAAGTGGCTGGGGCAATTCTCTTACAAAACAAACGCAGCAAAAGAGGTTTACCAGCCGGCCTTTATGATCTGGTGCTGAAGTACAGCCTGACGATTGATTATTCTCCTTTCGACCCGGCTATTCTTCAGATCTACCATCCAACATCACCAACGGCTCACCCGCTTTTTCAGAAACTTCAAGACCCATCGTTTCTTGAACAATTTGCCAGATGGCAGAAGAATCCCAACAGATTCGTTCGGAGGGTCTTGCTTGTTTCTGTTCTAGACGCGGCCGAACTATCCTTGACCCAAGCTCACCCTCGTGAAGCCAGAGAGTTCCTCGACTTTGCCGAGAGAACATATCCTGACTTTCTGCGCTCACATGAAGAAAACACCGATATGGCAGAGAGACTGCAAATGGCTCGTCAGGAGATCCTGGTGAGAAAGGAGTTTCGTTCATCGGGCTACGCCACTGCTCCGGAACTACAAGTCCTGGTGTGAGTGGGCGTGGAGCAACGTCATCTCCTGCCCGGAAACCGAGGAAATGACATACGAATGATTGATGAACACGAATCATGCTCTTTTCAAGCTCCCGTTAGAGCATAGCTGAATCTGTACAACAACCGTCCCAGTCATATGCGATGAAATGTCACAGGCGGCTAGCTCACGGTACCTCTAACAACCTGAATTGGGGATTATAATCAGATTGCATGACAGCACAGTACGACACGCTCGGCGGAAGAACGAAGAGGAAGACTATCAGTATGGAGAGGATATATCGAGTCTGGTGCCCAACAGGCTTGTCTTGAGGAAAGAAAGAGCGCGCACGTGCGGGGACCTTTGTGAGTGATGGTTTTATTCGGAATAACCAGAAAGATGTACAGGATGGGTACGCCATATACAGGGTCCATCAGAAGACAGGACGGAGGAGCTTGAAATCAAAAGATCTCGCTTTTCTTAGTCACATCAATGCAACATGGTCGTTCGAGCTGCTGCTCGATGGAAACAGGGGTGGCATTATTATGGTTCCTTTTCTGAAATATCTCCTTTCCGAACTCATTTCCAGATGTCTCCTTCAGGGAGTCTGCACACAAGTACGCGCTGCCCAGGTGATTCTCGTTGGTCTACAGAGAAGTTGGAAGGCGATATTAGGCCGCGGAAAAACCATAATCCGCGCTGCCGCCAGTGTCGCTCGAGGCTCTTGGTGTCCGACCTTTCGTCCGACCTTTCGTCCCTTCATATCTTCGAAGGCTCATCTTTATCTGTGCCTTTCAAGGAATCCACACGAGCCTTCATGCCTTCAATCATCTTGACTAAATCCTCATCACTACGACCCGTGTCGGGGATCTTTTTCGCCTTCTGCACCGCAGGCCTCTCGCCAATGCGCTTCATCCACCTGTCCACGCCCGGAAATTCGCTCATGTCGATGTCCAAGAACAGCGGTCCCGCGCGCACCCACGAGTAATTCGCCATGTCGGCGATCGTGTACTTGTCCCCGGCCAGCCAGTCGGCTTTTGAGAGGCGGATCTCCAGCACACCGTACAGACGCTTTGTTTCGTCGATGTAGCGCTTGATGCCGTAGGCCGAATACACCGGTGCCATGGCGCGGAAGTGGTTCGCTTGCCCTGTTTTCGTTGTGTTCTCTTTGTCAGATTTTCGAAAACCATACAGGGAGGGAGGAGAGAGGGAAACTCGAGCCAGAATGTTGTACTACTCCGTACCTTGCATCGGCCCTATGCCACCCATTTGAAACATCACCCAGCTCATCATCTCATAGTAAAGTCCACTCCCGTACTCGTACGTGAACTGCTTCTCCTTGTCATACAGATCGACCAAATAGAACATGATTGCGGCACTTTCAAAAACCCTCAGGTCACCGTCCTTGAGCGCGGGGATACGGCCATTGGGGTTGATTTCCAGGAACCACGGTTCCTTTTGTTCGTTAGTCATGAGGTTGATGGCGCGGACATTGTACTTGAGACCGAGTTCCTCGAGTACCATGGCCGGTTTCAGGCCATTAGGTGTTCCTGCCGTGTAGAGGGTGAGGGCATTGTATGGCGGAGAGGGGGAGGACATGTTGTTTGCTGAAGATTCAAGTCGGAGACGTCTCCTCTGGTGTGTTACCTGGTTCCCGGACTGAAGTAGTAATGGGAGGCTCTTTACTGATGACCTCGCAGTAGTACTCGGACGTGAAGGAGAGCTGACGGCTGGTGAGAGGCTCCCCAGCCTTCTTATGGCTGCTCGCGACGAGGTGTTGTGTAATACCGGCCCAGGGAGGGAGGCACCAGAGGCAGTCAATCCAATGACGTGTCGAACAGTCCTCATGGGGGCTGGGTGTCCCCCCTCGTTTATGTATGCAAGGACCGGGCCTTTTATGCGGCAACCTACTTCTCGTGTCATTATACGCTGCCGTCATTGACATAGTGTTCAGGCAGCCCGCCCCAACCTGCACGCACATGTCTGGGATACCTCCGTACCTAGGTAGAGACACCAGGCCGGCAAGCGACAACTTTCCTTGATGTACTGTAGCAGCAGTGATTGGGTAGCTCGGCAGTTTGCAGCGAGGTCGCTGAAAGTTGGCGGTCGATACTCTCCACATCTGGAGCCACTGTGCCAAAAGTGCTGCCAGCTGCCCCTGAGCTTATAAAGCAAGCCGGTACGCTGATGACACCGATTCAGTGTTGTCCCCCTATTTCATTCAGCCAACCGTGAGTTTCGGTCGAATTTTGACTCCGTGTCTGACAACGTCGAGGCTTCTCGGCCGGTACACTTTTGGGATGAGCTCGACGCAGGCCATGGAGGCTGGGGAAAACGAGCCTCAGCATTGTTTACTGCCATGTCATTTTCTGAAGGTGCCGGATAGCACATCCTTAATACCGATCCGTCGTTCACGGGGAAGCTAATAATACAGCCCAGATCGACAAAATCATGCTTTCCTTTCCGTCGCTGCTGTAGCTTCTGTTATCGCTGCTGTTCTCCCTCGCTCCCCTTTGAAGTCGACTCAATTCGCCTGTTATGTGCTCTGGTTCGTCGGGACCCGACTGACTGGTGCAGAGGTTCCATCTGAATTCTCCCCCAGAGCCAGCAGTCCCTCCTTGTGGAACGGTTTCTTTGCCTTGGCCGCTTTCTCCTCGCTATACCTCCATATTCCAGCAGTTTTATCTGGCGCGGCACCTTCCCAGCTGTTGAGACCGAAATTGGTCACCACCTTGACTAAGTCTTCGAATGTCCTTTCCATTCTGTTCTCGGGATCCGCTGGGGAGAAAAACACACGTTCCCAATTTCTCTTTTCCTCTTGCTCCTTCTTGCGCAGCGCCCGCTGGGCATTCTCGATTCTGGACTTGTAATGCGAGGCAGCATCCATTTCACCCTTCTCAATGCTCTGGGCAACCCGTGACCATGCTCTCCGACTCTCAAAGACATCTTGCTCCTCGATGGGTGCAACATTCAGCTTGGACAGTTTGATACCTGAAGGCCTGAAGGTGTCGATCTCTCTCCCTCTCTTGCTGTCGCCTTCTCGTATGACGAACGAGTCCGACCACTGCCCGTCCGCTGTATACAGGGGATTCTTCTCCGAACCTTCACCTTCTCTCCACAACGACGCTGTGAAGCTGTTCTTCTTCCCAGAGAGCCAACCCTTGCCGGAAAAATCGATCTTGGAGACGTGCCCAGTGCTGGAGACGATATATATAGATTTGCTCAACTCGACAAAGGGTGCTCCGTAGATGAGGCTTTCAATATGCAAGGCGGGCAGAGTGATCAGGTAGGTTTCCACGCGGTCACTGCCAGGAGGGTATAAGGTCAAGAGAGCATGTCCAACTTGCTTGACTTGGATAGTTCTACTGAAACTGGCTTTTTGACCGTTGTAGCCTTGCAGTCGAATGCGGTGCTTTTCATTGGTGATACAGTAGGCCGTTACTGGAGGATGGTGACTGACTTGCTCCGAGACCAGCGTTGTCTCGCCGAATTCGTCGTCCCATTTTCCCAAGAACAGTTCTCCGAGGAATGGATTAAGTGGCTTCTTTTCTGACCCAAGTTTTTCCGACCGAGAGCTATACTGTTGTTTGAGCGTGTTTAGCAACCACTTCAGCACCAGTAGAGCGCGTCTGGCAGGGTCCTTCTCTTGAGTCGGCGCAATGAATAACGACGTGTTTTCAGCCCAGTACGCGGAGAATTCGACTAGCGATTGGGTAGAGAGAATGAAAGCTGGGGCAGTCAGCGAAGACAAGTCGCCGTTGAAAGAGGCAATCGACTGCGCGCGTTTGTCACTGTCAGTAGCATTCGCTGAGTTTGAGCGCTGCCCGCGAGCCACTTCACGAACTCACCTTGAGAAAAGAAGACCACGATCCCTTGCTTTGATTTGGCACGGCGCCACCTTCGACTTCGGGCATCCTGCGCTTGCAAGCGCCCACTTGGGCAGTGTTGATGGAGGATTGGGGTGTCGTGTGCTCACGGACTTTATTGCGTGTTACCGGTGAGAATGCAGAGGGCAGAGGCGTGGGAACAGTTCGTGGAGCAAAAAAGAAAGAGGGAGCGACGATCTTCGTTAAACGAGCGAAGGGATAACTTGTCGATCCAGCGAAATGGTTGACGAGGGCATTTTTGTTCAATGTCACATCGAGGTCTTGAATGTGGTTGGAGGGAGAAGGAATGCCATTCAATTTCGGTGACGTATGGTGGCTGAAGCCGAATGGAGCCACCGCTGGAGTCGTCACCGCCCACATGTGAAAATCGAGGGCCATGTTGGAAGAGAACTATACTTCTTTTTGCCGCAAATTTGAAGGTATGTAGGATAAAGCTAGGATACAGGGGAGCTATTCCTCACTTAAAAGTTCTTTTTTGACAACAATGAGGCAAGGAAGCGTCATCTCGCCAAAAAGTACAAGAATGCGCAGTAACCCATTCAGCGACATTCTCGATTCTTGACGCTGATCCCGGTTTACAGAGTGCCAGCAGTGTTGAAGTCCTTCAATGCCTCTGCCACACGAGCACTCATTGTCTTCTCACCTTCACGCACCCACACACGGGGGTCGAAGTACTTCTTGTTGGGCTTATCCTCACCGTCGGGATTGCCGACTTGCTTCATGATGTAATCCTTCTTGTTCAACATATAGTCACGGATACCAGTCAGGTAGGCATATTGCAAGTCGGTATCGAGGTTGACTTTGACCACACCATAACTGATGGCATCTGTGTATTCCTTCTTGGTTGAGCCGGAGCCGCCATGGAAGACAAGGAAGACGGGCTTGTCCGTCGGGGTCGATTCCTTCTCCTTGACGTATTTCTGGTGCTTGTCGAGCAGTTCCGGGTGGAGACGGACGTTGCCGGGCTTGTAGACACCGTGAACGTTACCGAAACCTGCGGCAATGGAGAAATAGGGAGAGATCTTCTTTAAAGTGGTGTAAATCAGGTGGATGTCCTCGGGTTGAGTGTAGAGAGCGTTGTTGTCGACATCCTCGTTGTTGACACCATCTTCCTCTCCACCAGTGATACCGATTTCCTTGTCTGTCATCAGTCTCCGAACTGCTCTCAACTTTCTGGCGGATACGTACCATTTCCAGCCATTGCTTCATTGGAGCCGCCCGCTTCAAGTATTTGGCCGTGGTCTCAATGTTCCAGTCAACAGCTTCTTCGGACAAGTCAATCATGTGCGAGGAGAACAGAGGTTCGCCGTGTTCCTTGAAGTAGGCTTCATCCGCGTCCATCATGCCATCGAGCCAAGGAAGAAGCTTCTTCGCGCAGTGGTCGGTGTGTAGAACAACAGGGACACCATATGCGGGGGCGACACAGCGGATGTAGTGAGCTGCAGCGACTGCACCAGCAATGGATGCTTGTTGCTTGTCATTCTTGACACCCTGCGATATGGATTTAGTTTGCCGTTCTTTGCACCACAGCTGCCGTTCAACGAACCTTGCCACAGAAGTATGCAGCACCCCCTTGAGAGGCCTGGAGAATAATGGGCGCATTCGCATCGCGCGCAGCTTCCAGAGCCGCCACAACGGTCGAGGAGGAGGTCACGTTCTGGGGAAAGGAGGTCAGTGATCGTGCCATTGAGATGAGGCGGGGCAGCGTACAATGGCGGGAATGGCAAAGTTGTGCTCCTGAGCGTACTTGAAGAGATTCAAGACATCGTCACCGACGATGACACCCTCCTTTCTCGACAAGATATCCTTGACACCCATATTGGCGACTGCTGGAGTGGGGCTTTCGGGGTTGGACTGAGGAGGGGTAGGAGAAACTGCAGCAAGGTCTTTCTGAAAGGATCTAAGCTAGGGATGAACTGTAGCGGCGTATACCGCAGCGGAAACCAGGAGTAACAGTGAGTGAGAAATATGTGAGAAAGGAATAGAATCCAAAAGTGAGTTGGGCTTGTAGAAGAGAAACCAGGTGAATGCCGCTGGCCGGCTTCCGAAACGGCGGCGGGGAGAAAAGTGGTGAGGGTTCGTGATCTGTGAGGGGCAGCCACTAGCGACTGCGGCAATCAACAATGACATCGAGCTTCTTTCTGCCATCTCGTGCCACTGTTGTTTCCAATTCCTCGGCCAAGCGACTTTCATTCGCTTTCCCGCCAAAACCCCCACAACCAAACTCGGTCCCTCGTTCCGGTTCTCTCCTTGCTATTGATTCTCATCCACGGATTTCTTGCTATTCCATCCTTTTGCCCTGCGGAACTTTACGGAATATTCTGCCCACTGGCAAGTTCTTTCCCCACGATGAGACAGTCGTCCTGGTGGAAAAAGCAATTGACCCGAGAGGAATTCTCGGGCTCTAGGTTTGAGGAAAGAGTTTGCAGACCGCCAGCAGATTACGTTGAAATCTTGGGAGGACGTCGGAACTCCGCCCACAACGACTTCACGGCTACCCAGAATATTCAAAACCACGCTTGACCGCATGATCGTTGGTATACTGAGCCGGACTCAATACAGTGGCACAGTCTGACGAAATATATATTTCAAATTTGCTCAATACCATCGAAGCCGCCATCATACAGAACATAATTAACAGTATAGGATGAATGACAGAGTGCCGCTATTGCCAAGGTAAACAACTACTTGTTGTAAATAAAAGTGCGCCTTTGATCTCATAGTGAATCGCTTATCCTGAATCCGGCTTCCACCCCATGAAGAGGGCACAGATTAGGCAGCCGGCGGTGGTGAATCATTCGCGCTACTTCAAGCGTCATTCCAAGTCCACACGGTGGGTCCAAGGTGGGAGAAAGAAGAAGACCAGTTGCTTGATGTCCTAGGACCGAGTACAGAAATGGAAAGATGCCTTGGATGCAAAGCGTCTAAGAAGATTCGGCAGGTATGAAGCTATTCGAACACCGGGGGCTGCCTGCTGCTGCTGCAAGTTAGGAATTCCATCACTGAGATCAGTTAGCCATGAAGCCACAGCATTATTGAGGCATCGAAGCGAATAGCATGCCGATGAAGCACTTTTGATCCTGAGATTATTCAGCTGCATGATTCTGGTCACCTAACCCTGGCATAAATAACATGAAACATAAGAGGGAATCCTCGACCCAGCAGCAAAGCTTTCACTGTTGCTCTGCCCAATCATCCGCATACTTCTTCAGCCTGATGGTCTGGATCTTGATAAACCCAGTAGTGTCCTCGGGGCTGAAGTTCTCCAACGAGTCCATCGACGCCTCCTCCATGGAATACAGCTTCTCGCTGCTGCTCGTGCGGCCGAGGACGTATGCATTGCCCTTGAAGCAGCTCAAGCGGACCTCGCCGTTCACGTTCTGTTGGCTGAAGATCAGGGAATTCTCCACAAAGGTACGCTCAGGTGAGAAATCTGCAGTAGAAAGGGAGGTGGAACGTTAGTACAGGCTCAGAACTGGAATAAAGCATCCATGGGATGGGACACGTGTGGAGGGTAAGGATACGTACACATTCCGTTGTAGACTATAGAGAGCGTTAGCAGTTTCCGATTAAAAAGGCGGATGTCATGACTTACGATAATTACTCCAATTGTGCGTGACAAACTAAGAATGAAACATTAGCTGTCCGTATAAAGACATCGTCGGAACCGATGCGGGACTTACCTGATCCCGAAGAGCCCTAACTTGTCCATCAAGAACCAACCCTTCGAGGTCAAGATGTGCGAGGCGAAGAATTGTCATAGCTGGGGACTGTGGTTGAAGAGTTAGAAGCAGTAAATCTAATAATTGCCGTGTGAAAGAGACTGGTAGTCAACCTAGAAAGAGCGGTTGAAATATATAATCTTCACCAAATCAACTAATGAGAGCTCAATGGAGATAACTTACGTCGTAACATCCGCGAGACTTCAAACCAATGAACCTATTCTCAACGATGTCAATTCTGCCGATACCTAAGTCGCGGACCAAAATGTCAGTAAAGGCTCAGACCCATATTTGGAAGGAAAATAGTACGTGACTTGATCTGAGGAAAGGGAACCTTTTTTACTTACCATGGACTTTTCCGACACGGTTCAGCTCCTTGAAAAGCTGTACAGAATCTGTGAATGTCCCCTGTGGCGTGACGACCTTGGTCGGGATACCCTTTTCGAAGCTGATGGTGATGTTGGTTGGCTCGTTGGGAGCCTTCAGCGGATCTTCGGTCATGGTCCACATGTCACTTGGAGGCTCCTGGTTCGGGTCTTCCAAAATGCCGGCTTCATAGCTGCAGTGGGCGAGATTGGCGTCCATTGACCATGGCTTCGCTTTTGTCGATGTGACCGGTAGATTGTTCGCTGCAGCATAGTCGAGCAGATCGTTCCGGCCCTGGAATCGGTTGAAGAATTTGGGGTCTCTCCACGGAGCGATGATCTTGATGGAAGGTTGAATTGCGTAAAAGGCGAACTCGAAGCGAAGTTGATCGTTGCCCTTGAAAGATTAGAAACAACCAGACATGAAGACAGCAGAGTTGATTACCTTGGCGGTAGCACCATGGCTGACGGAGTCGCAGCCTTCACGCTGTGCCACTCGCATGAGAGATCGTGCAATCACCGGACGTGCAAGAGACGTGCCGAGCAGGTATCTTCCTTCATACTGTAAGACCAGATCAGTTTCCGTGACCCAGGTGCAGGCCAAGTACGAATGCACTCACTTGAGCGTTGCACTGCACGGCCCTAAAGCATAACTCTTCTACAAACTCCTTCTGCAAATCCTCAATCACCATCTTGGTGGCGCCAATTGTGAGGGCCTTCTTCTCGACAGCAGCCCAGTCCTCTTCTTGTCCAACATTGGCCAGGAAGCAGACGACCTCATAGCCATCCTCTGTAGCCCAGTGATTAGTCCTTCTTGTTACATTGCGAAGGTTCTAGGGCCATGATGGTCTTACCGAGCAGCCACTTCAGAATACAGCTCGTGTCCAAACCGCCTGTGTCCCAAATCAGCAACAACTCTGCAATGGGCTTTGTGACTCAAATCATACCACTGTAGGCCTAGCTACTGTTAGAGAAAGCTCCTGTGGTTCTTGGTGGACTGTCACTTACCAAGCAGACTTTTCCCTTCGCCATGTTGTCAGAATGTGTTTACACTATGAGACGGGATCTCCTGCAAGCGCGATAGAGCGGTTATCAAGGGATTCTACTGTAGTATTGACACCCCTACGAGAATTTCACAAATTTTCTTTCTACCCCACGTGAGGACCGAAACTTTTTGAGATTGTGGCGCATAGGCAAGACAGCATGATAAGGCGGTGTCGGACCACTAGCCGCTTGGCCGGGTACTCAACTAAATCAAAAGAGGTCAGGCGGTTCGCGTCGCGAAAATACTATAAACATTTACCCTCCATTGACTTCATCAACCGTGGCAACCAAAAATTTCCTGAGGCAACAGAAAACTCTGACAGCTCTATGGGCAAAGATAAGCGATCTTGAGCAGCTTTCCAGGCATGTAAAGAGGCATGCTTAGACAAGACTGCTGATAAAAGGACGTGACACGGCGAGACGGGTCCTCAGCACGTTTCATTTGAACCTCATCCCAATGCTGAATGGTCAAACATCCTGATATGCACCAGGGACCGAAATGATTTCTGCGGTGATCAGGATGAATGCCACCAGTTCTTCGTAGCTCGCCTGCTCCTTCGTGGTCTGCCATCGCTCGCTCGACAATCTCCCATGGAAATTAGCATATTCTGAGTTGGTGTACGATCATTCTACGTTTCTTGAAAGCGAGACCATAAGTGTTCCATTCCTCGACAAAACCAACCCTCTCACAAAACTGAGGTTGACGCCTTCAGTTTCTGCAGTATGGGGTTCGGTATTAATCGGGATACAGGAGATATTTTTCAGCTCCGCTCTACCCAAGATCTAGCGATATGACAATAGCCCGAAGTCGTGTCGTCTCGACATCTATCAGATCCTGTTTTCCAAATCGCACCAAATATCCCAGCATATAACGAGGGTTTTAACGTAGTAGTTTGGGTCGACGAAACCAGAGCATACCCACGAATGGCGAGCAACTTAGGCGTTAGGATCATCGCCTGGTCGTTCGAGCTCATAGAAGAGTAAGTAGACCTCACGCTGCATCGAGAGAACATCTGACAGCCTTGCCTCCTTGATTTTATCGTCTGAAATGCGCCACCACCGATCATTGGATTTTTTCCGTCGCCGGAACTTGCCTGGTATTGGATCCTGTGTTCTAATCTGTTTCGACATTTGAGTGTCCGTTCTTTGTACTGGCGACATGGCATTGTCTTCTTGTGTCAACGGGGGTGCATCCTTGCCATCCATGCTGTTAGAATTTGGTCTGCTGTTCCCGGTTGATAGGGAGGCTGTCGACAGTGATGTGGTCGAGTTCCCATTAGGAGGTGCAGCGGATCCATTTAGGCCATCCCCATGCGTAGCCTCCATAGTTGGACTAGGCGTGGCCGACGAAGCCAAGCTTGTATAGCGAGTAGCGATAGCATATGCGCTGAACGGGTCAGGGGTAGCGAAGGGAGCGTACACATGATTTCTCCTGAAGGACTCGTAGTGTCCGCTATGATGGCTGCCTTTGTGACATACCACTCCCAGGAGTTTGTACCAATGTTCATTCAACAAACCCCCCAAGCGCAATCTTTGCGTATATGACACTTTGGCCATATTTTTGGTCGAATAGCTGCCTGGATCAAAAACTGAGCGAGACAAATGAATAGCAATCACCTTGGGGAACACGGTGATGCGGGTCATTTTTTTGATCTTGCTCTTTGGCGCCAGATTCGTGTCAGGCAAG